TTGAATTACACGGGTTAAAAAATAATAATATGTACACGGTAATTACCATATTTAATTTAATTATTAGAGTAATACATAATTTTCTATATCTCTTGCACAGAATATGTATGAAATATGTTAGGAATATTTCAATTTTATATATCGACGAAATATAAATTTCATACAAAATAAATTGTAGGAGTAAAAATAATAACAAATAACATAACAAACATAAAATGTTGACATATTCGTCGTTATTATCTTTAAGCAGAATCCTCATTATTTCAATCCTCATTAGCCAAATTTCCAACCAGAGGTTCAGGCACCTGTCGATCCAGAGAATCGTGAAAGTTAGGAAAATGTAAATACGTCAATAAAGTTATATAAAAGAGCAAAACAATGTAAGTAAACAATATATCACCTCTTCAGCGAAATCATAATCTTCTCGGTCATAAATATGTGTTGGGAAATCTGCATCTTTCAATACTTCTACAGTAGTTCTATCACAAAACATCAACATATACCTGAGATTATAAGTTTTGTTTCTATAGTCATTATACCACCTCAAATCTATAGATTCAATAAACTTTGCCTTCTTTAAATTTGTTGAACCACTTTTGTACATACAATGGTGGAATATGCATATGTATAAAAATTCCCTGAAATTATAAAAAAAAAAAAAAAACATATGCATCAACAGTAAATTTTAGAGATACAAAATATTAAGATTAATATTACAGTAAAAAAAAAAAAAAAAAAAAAAAAAAAAAAAAAAACCTCTACAACATGTACTACACTATAGATTTAATGGTTTGAGAACCTTTTGTGTAAGGAAGACGAACGACACGAAGCACTCTAAACCTGATGTGATTCCACCGCAGTCCTACACGAAGTTGATTACCAACAATCTCAGAGTGATGTTCAGCTGCCATTGAAAATTGAAAATCTGTGTAAAAAGGGGAGTAGAAAAGCAGAAATAGTTTGTAGGTGACAGCTTTGAGTTTAGCATAATGGTGGATTTAAATAGCAAATCCTTAATTATTATTATATTTAATTATTTAATTATTTTTTACTACCTAATTTATATTTTATTAATATCAATATATACATGTATATATATCACACGGAATAATGACCCAATTATTGTTTCCATAATTAGAATATATATGATTTTACATATCACACGGAATAATGACCTAATTATTGTTTCCATAATCAGAATATATATGATTTTACATAAATACCTCCAAGTTTTTGGGGAAAAAATTTGTTTGGAGGATTTTACTTTTATATATAGATATAGATATAGATATAGATATAGATTACCAATTAAAATTAAGGTTATTATTATACTTGAACAATAATATTACTAATGAATAATATATGTATAGTAATTTGTCTAATTATTGACTTAATTATAATATATAAAAACAACCTAATAAATGTATAATTATTAGCTTATTCCTTAACTACTTTATAACTTACTGAAGCACAAAGAGCCAATAACGCATCTACTAAGGCTTGAACTCACAACCTCCCATATGGGAGTCCAACCCGAGTGCCATCTGAGCACAAGGTGAGCGGCAACAAAATAATAATTCCTTAATTTTATTAAAATTTATTCAATTAATTACTTAATTTTAGAAAATAGTAATAATTGTGTAGTAATATAAATAATTATTAGCTTAATTAGAATGACAATTGTTAGTATATATATAGAGTTGTCGAAACGGGCTCAACCCCCCGACGGGTTGAGCCCGTTTAATCCGTATTTTAGACGGATTGGGCTGGAGAATTTTCAGCCCGACCCGTTTCCAACCCGTCCCGTATATGTCGAAGCCAATCACCCCCACAAAGTAAAGCTTGTGTTGTTTCATGCAACAATGATGCACGATATGAATAAATTACCATTGTCCCAACAATAAATGTTGCTTCTGAAGCCATAGTGCTAGCAAGTATAGCTAGAATATCTGCTGTCATTCTTGACAATATTGTATACTGCAGTCTATGCATCTTCCACCAGTCTAAACTACAATAGTTGCTAGAAACCTCAGTAGTCTTAAGACGCCCTATTTCTAGATAGTCTACGAACTCAGAGTTTTTAGGCCCTGAAGTTTCAACTTGTGCACAAAATTCTTCAAAATCCTCCCAAGCATATGTAGACTTTTGGTGGCTGACTTGTCTTCCAAAAGTGTTAGAAGAACCTAGATTTTCATAATTTTCTTTATTCATTGATTCAGCAACATACTCTTCATAAAGAGTATTGATGATCTTCTTCACTTTTGCTATATTCTCCTTAGCTTCCTGATCAAAATAAAGTCTAGGGAAACAGAATTCAACGGCAAGCATTTTCTTTGTTGGATCAAAGATAGCACCTATAGCCATCAACAAATTGCATTCACCCCAATATTTATCAAACTTCTTCTACATTCTCTTAACAAAATCCCTAATAAAGTTCTCTTCATCATCTTCATGACTATCCAATGTTGATTTGATTTTTTGAACTTCTTGAAGAAACAAATTTGAAGTAGGGTACTCAGAATCTGAAATAAATTTGAATTCAGATAATCATAAGTCACAGCCTTAACAAAATTTTTTAAAAAAATTAAAAGAAACAAACTTGAAATAATGTGAGTAACTATCTAGAAAGATACTAAAATTGAGCAAATTTTGGCAACCTTGCCCCAATCATCTTCTAATGGACAACTGTCAAAGAATGGATCACGATCCTTTTCGCATCTTAAAAGCTTCTTTGAACTTGAGTGCACAACTTAACATCTCAAAAGTTGACTTCCATCTCATTTTACAATCACAAATCAATTTCCTATCTTTCAATTGCAATTGCTGCACACAGTTAGCAAATTGTATACGTCTTGATTTTGACCAGTTCACATATTTCGCACTATCTCTAACATCACTAATGATGTGTTGAATCTCATCTAATCTATCTTGAACACACAAGCTCAAGATGTGTGCACAACAACAAACATGAAACAAGCGTCCCCCACATACCAAACTTCTTGACCTTTGGAGTGTATCCTTCATGTACCGAATAGCATAATCATTACTTGAAGCATTATCAATTGTAATTGTAAAAACTTTCTTTTCAATGCCCCACTCTTTCATGCATCCAAATATAGCTTCAGAAAGCTGAAGACCTCCCCTCTGTGGGGGAATGTTAATGAAACTTAAAACTCTCTTCTGCAACCTCCAAGAAAAATCAAACCAGTGTCTAGTGACAACCATATACTCAATCTTCTGATTTTTTATTTCCAACAATCTGTTGTCAAACTTACTTTACTAACACTTTCAAGATTGTTCTTCAACTTCTTCTTTTCAATCTCATAAACCTGCAAACAATCTAATTTGCTTGTATTTCTACTAATTTTTTTCTACTCGGGCCATCCTTGTTTCAGCATTAGGTTAAATCCTGCTTCCTCCAGAATGGTAAACGTTCATGCATCATGATCCAATTAGTAGCATACTCCCTCATTCGTTCCATGTCAAAATTTCAAGGATGTAATGGAGGAATGCAAGACGAAACTCCATCATTGGACATAAAATTTAACATTGAAATATATAAATGTATTTTCAAATTTAAGTAGTTACCATCAAATTTATATTTCTCTTAACGCATTTTTCTTGATGCCTCTTGTAGCTAGTTGTTGTGCCCGTTTTAGTTAATGCGAATTGATGATGACAATGATTACATTGTACCTTCTGCGCTCCATCTACGTTGACCATAAGAAAATCAGCTCACACACCTGAAGTCTTTTTTCTCTTGTTTCTTTGAAACTCTTGTTCGTGTGATGTTTCTTCGTTTTGTTGTGTGTCATGACCATCTAGATCAACCCTTTCAAGTCCTTCAGCTTGCTCTTGTACTTCATTAGTAGTTTCATTGTTTTCACCAACCACACTATTTAAAGTGTGTGGATTTTGTGGGATAGATGAATTCTCTATTGACATGCCTAAATGCCTAATGAAAAACAATAACTAAATTAACCAATCATACCTCAACAACATAACTAATATGATAAAGACAAATCTATACTGTATATAAAAACAAAATCCTGAACTTTAACTTCCCGCCCAATTCCAAAAAAATCTCGCTTTCTAATCAAATATATTGTTTTCGACTTTCCTATTCGTACTATAATTCTAGGTTAAAATTTATATTCTAATATTATAAAATAGTATAATACAATTCCTAATATAACACATTGTTTCCTACTTTCCTATTTGTACTATAATTCTACATTAAAATTTCTATTCGTAATACAATAGGACAATCTATATCTATATCTATATCTAATTAAAAGTAAAATCCTCCCTCTAGTATTTTCCTGCCCAAACTCATTGTATTGGTCAAATTAATTAATTATGATAAACTATGGAATAATTAATGATGGTATTAGAAATCCTAGAAAAATATAGAATACAAGAATATTAAATTATGATTATATTATTATTGTGCCTTACGGAATAGAATACAAGAATATTTAATTATGGTTATATTATTATTGTGCCTCACGATCATTATATATACTAACAGAACTTGACAGGAAAATAATAATAATAATATAATAATAATATTTAAAAGTAATCAAGTGTTAATAATAATAATAAGAATGTTAACGTAAGAATTATAACATAGAATAAAACGTAATAATTAATATATATATATATATATATATATATATATATATATTTCAAGTATAATAAAAGCCCTATGTAATAATGTAATAATAAAATAAATTACAACAACAACGACGATGATGATGATAATAATAATAATAATAATAATAATAATAATAATAATAATAATAATAATAATAATAATAATAATCCAAACAAAACTACATACAAAATAAAATTAAAATAAAAATAAAGAAAAAAAGTAAGAAGAAGACAAAGGGCTCCCTTTGTAAATGATGTGAGATCATTTTGATCTCATATGGAGAATGTTTGGAAATAAGAGCTCTTGAGGTCCTCTATATAAATAACAAAGATCCTAAGAATATAATATATTAATCTTCACTAAATTATTTTTCCTACAAGTCTCATGCATTTCATTTCCTTTCCAAACACGAAAGTCACACTACATAATGTTGCCTAGAACTGTTTATACCTCAGCTAATTGAGCTTTTCCTGTTTCCACCAGATCCTTTGCGTCTGAACTGATAAGGATAGAATGCTTCACCACCGGTTGAAGATTCAAAATATCAGTTGCTTGAAAAGGTGTGACAGCATCAAGATCATATTTTCGAGCTGCAACGGTTACTCCAACCTGTTAAAGAATACCACAGTCAATAGAAGCATAAGCAATATAAAATATTAACCACGTTGTCTTATCCATTCATAGAAGTGCAACATTGAATAGCAATAAGAAACAAAATTCATATGAACAGTTAATGAGATACCCATGAGGTACCTTCAGGCAAAGATTGCATAAAACTGGAATTTTCTTTACCTGTAATCTTGCATCGTCAGGCAATTCCAACTGAAAAATTATCAATTAGAATCTGATTACAAATGAAAGTAATAGACAAGAACCTGTGGAAATTTTTAATTACTTGATACCTGATATTTTTGTTTTGAGAATTCTTTGATGTCAGACCACAAACTAGCAGACGTGACAATCAAACACAATTAATAATCAGAATTATTGGAAAAGCAAGTATCACAGGCATAGACAATTCAACATTGATTAATGATTATGGACCGCAAATAGAGCAAAACCAGAGTTTCTGGGAGGATACAAAGAGCACCTAATATCTTTATATCTTAATCAGATAAACTCTACGGATCAAAATGTTTTAAAGTGGGAAGGAAGCAAACAGTTTAAACCAATATTGATATGATTAGTGGCTGGTAAACTCAAGCAAAGCATTCAGTGTCTCAATGACCATGAACATCCAATTTCAAATATGTGGATGAAAAATAAATTTATAAGCTAGCATGATATGATAATAGCTAATGGAAAGCATTTACCAGGAATGGGATAGGAGCCAAGCATTTATTTGGGGACAGTAGAGATTGTACATTTTCAAAAGGATTTGGGGAATGATTTATTGGCCCGGGGAGAGACCAGGTCATCTCCGCCGTCGCCCCCAACCTCCTCGCCACGTACGAAGTCCAATTCGTCGTCCCTTCTCGACGCCAGAACGATTTCTTGAGCCGATTTCATTGTTGTGACTTGTGAGGCGTGAGAAGTACTTTTTTTCTTCAACGAGGAGGTTTAAATAAGAAATAAACACCTCAACGGTCAGTTGAGGTTTGAATTTTTTTATTTTTAAAATCTTTTATTTTACTTTAAATACATTGTGAGGGTTTTTTTGTCTTTTTTCCATTGAAAGTATTTTTTTTTCTATTTTTAATTTGTTTTTAAAATTTGACCGTAAGAATTTTGAGTTAAATTTATTTTAAAAATGTTTAATTATAATAATTGTTGATATATTAAGAATTTCTAGTTAAATTTATTTTTAATTGTTTTAACTTTTGGTATATATTGTGATTTTAAATGCAAATTTTAATATTTTGATTTAAAATCAAAATTGAAATTATAAGAGTAAATATCAGTCAAGGTCCTCCGAGTTTGGTGATTTAGCCACATATAATCCTAAATTTTCTATTTACCATCTATGGTCCTCTTACTTTCAAAATATTACCTTCTTCTGTCCTTCTGTTAGTTTCTTCCGTTTGTGCCGTGTAAACCAAGGGTAGAATCGTACTTTCTCTTTGTTTATTCATTTTTAAGGTGAAAATATCACATATTTTGCGTAATTCCTTCTCCTCCGCGGTGAAATTAGCGTCGGCGAGAGAGTGCCGGGTATATGGGCTAAGGCAATCGCAGAGCAAATCGGAATACATAAACGCCAACTTGTATCGCTTCTCCACGACTGTATTAATGTGCGATTTCACGGTGGAGCTGTCGCGGGAGCCAAAATCTGGGCAAGTTCTCTTGCTCATAGCCTTTGCGCTCATCGTCGTCTCTAATTTTCACGATCTTATTTTTTGAATATGAAGTTTCGAATCAATTTTAGAGAGCTCCAATAAGGTCAACCCAGTTTTTCTCTTTCTCGCGCTCTCTGTATTAGGCCTTAATTTTGAACTTCAATACCTGTAGTTTGCACTTCAATTTCCTGTTGTAATAAATTTGAACTTGAAGTTAGAAGCTTCAAGTTTTAGTCTTTGTTTAAAATGTGGCATTTTGAGGTTGTTCCTTGGTGTTCAGGGGATTTGGGAGTTTAACTTAATGAATTGGGAAGAAAATCGGACTTTACTTGGAGTTTAACTCATTGGATTGGGAAGAAAACTGGGCATTTTGGTTGTAGTTTTTCTATTTTTTTTAAAGAATTATTTCTTAAAATACTTGTAAGTCAGAATTTAATGACCAGTTGTTTTCTCTAATCTGCACATATGGAACCTTCTCAAAGGCTTTATAGCCAATTTTGATTCTTAGGTCTTGGTCTTTATTAAAGTTCAAGATGTCCCAAACAAACTCAGCTGCCCCACTTGATTTCCTCTGTTGAAATTCTTTATCTACATCACATCTCCCCTTGATTTGAAAGTTAAAGTACTCCAGTCTTTGTGTCTAGCTCCCCATGAAGATGCAAATGAGTGAAGGATTCCAGAGGGAGTTTCTCCTTGGCATGAAGTTTCAGGGCCTTGGAATCTCCGTCGTACCTAAGCGAGGTCTCCATTTATGCAAATAGTATTTTCGTGAGCGATTTTGCTTTTAGTGGGTTTTGGGAGATATGAAGGTTTAGATAAGCCCTAAAAATGGTGGATAGTAAGAGGTACGCTCAGAAACTCCCCCCCCCCCCCCCCCCCCCTCCCCCCCGCTCTTCTCCCTCATTTCGCTTGTACTTCGAATTGTGTTTTAGGGGGTTTTGGGTTTAGAATTTGAAATTTTCTGGAAGTTGAAGTTTTGCATATGGTTTTAGGTTCAACATTTTCGGGTTTGCTTTTAGAGGGGGTGGTTTATAAATATGTGATATTTTCACCTTAAAATGAATAAACATAGAGAAAGTACAATTCTACCCCTGGTGTACACCGCGCAAACGGAAGAAACTAATCGAAGGACAGTAGAAGGTAAGATTTTGAAAATCGGAGGACCATAGGTGGTAAATTGAAAGTTTAGGACTATATGTGGCCAAATCACCAAATTCGGAGGATCTTGGCTTTTACTCAAATTATAATTATAAAGTTGAAATTATTAATTAGAGTTAATTCTTTTTTTGGTCCTACTTTTATAGTTTTATTAGGGCATTTTCATTTTTAGTCTATCATAATTAATTTTTCCACATTGCGACCACTCTTTTTTGGATTATGTCATTTTTAATCATATGTTAGTTTTGTTGTCAGTTGTCTGTCTAGAACAGGGGTGTTTATGTCATTCCATGTTATGTTCTTCTCATTTAATATTTCTTGCAGGTTATAATTTCTCATTCCTAGCCTTTTAGGATATCATATACGACTCACCCACAATCCAACATTCAAAGCCTAAAATCTTTTACAAGGTTGTTCTCTCAAAAAAAAAAAAAAAAAAAAAAAAAAATCTTTTACAAAGTTGAAATTGAATAGAAAGATAGAGTTAATTCCAGCAATGGTCCTCCGACTATTGTGATTTTTCAAAATTGATCATCGTCTTTTAATTTGGACGAAATAGACCCTTGACTATCAAATTTGTTCCACTATTGGTCCTTCCGTTAACCATCAGTTAAATAGGGGTTAAGTAAAGGGGTACAAGCGTAATTTCCTTAGCTAGGTCTCTTAAGTAAAGGGGCACAAGGGTAATTTCCTATCCCCTATCTCACTAGAAGTTGTAATGTCTTCCGCGATAAGAAACCCTCCAAGTCCTCCGGCTGGATCGGTGGCATACGAACTCTCTCTGAACAGTTGGAGCATGAGAAAGGTACCAGAGGAATGGTTCGCAGATGAGGAAAAGGTCTGGAAAACGGTAGAGTTGTTGCAAGAGAGCCAAACTTCGGCAATCCGATCCTCCGAGCCTGACAAAATTCGGTGCGAAATCTGGGACGACGAATATTCTGTCTTCGAAAATACCACCATTTCTTGCTGATGTGGCCACGCCTGCGTATCACTGTCCAATCCAAGCTTCTCTCTGAAGCAGCTGCCTACTGTTGTGTCAGCTCGTCGAATTTCCAATACAATGTTCAGTTTCTTCAGTCTCATTGATCATCCACAAAGAATTAGCTTGGGGTTTCATTTTTCTGGTAACTAGCAATGGAGGGCTCAAGTAAGAGAATTGGCCCGAGCTTCACTTTGGGAAGATTCTGATAATGATAGTGGGAGTGATTATGAGTACAAGGAGGAAGATGAAGGGGAAGAAAGTGAGGAGAGTTGGTGATTTGGAAGCAGGGAGAGATAGCATCATGCTTGAGAATAGTATCAATGGCATGTCAGATTGCAACTATGAAGTGGAGCTTGTGAAAGGTCCATATTTCTGGCTTATCTCCTCCATATTACTTTCTTGTTTTTAGTTTAGCTGTTAACTACCATTGTTTCTTCCTTTAAGAAGTTGAACTGCTTTTGGGGCTAGAAGAAAGAGCCACTATGTAACAAAATCGCGTGTTTTAATTTGTGGATTCAATCGCTGATCAAAGACGGACCAGGTTACCTCTTCAAGCACCGCTGCCCCTAGGCCGGCTGCAACGCCGCCATATTGGCGGAGATGGTTGAATCAGTCGCCGATGAGGAAGACATAACTAAGTATTAGCGTTATTTCCTTAGGTCTTATGACGTCATATGTGAATGCTCCCATACTTTTTCCTGGAACTGCTTGGAGAACAGTCACCGGTTGGAGGACTGCTGCACCGTAGCCAAGTGAATGATCAAGAACGTCTCCGAGGCTGAAAACACAAACTGGTTTCTTTCCCATTCCAAGCTCTGTCCCAAGTGTAAATGACCAATTAGAAAAACCATGGATCCAAGCTTTGTCCCAAGTGTATACCATGGATCCAAGCTGTGTCCCAAGTGTATACTAGTGAAAGAAGTTGTGTGAGCAAGAAGAGAAAAAAATGGAGTTTTGAGGTTGGTAATCTGCGTGTAATAGATACATATACTCATAAGTATAAGGAAGAAGAGAGTCATAAAAGGAAATGACCATTTTAGCTCTTCATTAACACCTATCTAACTGATGGTTAACGGAAGGACCAATAGTGGAACAAATCTGATAGTCAAGGATCTATTTTGTCCAAATTAAAACGCGAGGACCAATTTTGGAAAATCACAATAATCGGAGGACCATTGCTGGAATTAACTCTAAAAAGATATAAAGAAAAAGTTCTAATTCTTCAAGTTCTTCAACTACTATTTGTATGGGGAATGGATTTCAATTCAACAACGTGAATGTGGGTCATAAATAGTTTTGAGAACATCATTGACAAATGAGAACCCAGGTGAAAGTATTGGGAATGTTTAAGATGTAAGGTTTGTAATTTTTGTGTTTGTTTTAGCAATTGGGTAAAAAAAATTAAATTTTTAAAATTTTCACAATTCGATATTTTTTTTTTATTTATTTATTTTTTGCATTGCTTGGGTAGATTTGTTTAATTTTTTACAATTTTCAGGATAAATCAAGATGTGAGTATTGTGAAGTGATATGATCCCCCAATGTGCCCTAGGTCAAAGAAAATTATACTTGGGCTATTGAAGAGAATTAACAACAATGAAGAAGAAATAGCAAAATTAAAAGCTAAGCTAAAAAGTGTACCAAGAGTGTACCAAGAGGTGAAGAGTCAAATAAGTATAGGAGTAGAAAATGCACATCTAGGATGCTTGTTGTAGTTGTTATGGTAGTGTTAATTAGTTATTTTAGTGTAGGGAACAATGAGAGCATAGGTGTAGGCAAAAATGTCTAAATGCTCTCATAAGGCTTAGGCAATAATATGGTATTTGTTTGATTTGCAAAAGAAGTGGTTTTGTTATGGGTTTGACAATAACATTGCAGTACATTAGTAATGATATTCTCTGATAGGATCACGTTCAGGTGTGAACTGTCCGTCCAGGAAAGAATTGTGAATCATTCAGCGCGTGTCACGTGTCCAGATCAACAAATCAGATGCAATTTTTAAAAAACGACGCGGTGGTAGTTTTGTAAATAACTCGAACTTT